TGCCTTTAATAAAAAATATATACGATTCTATGCCAGATAGCAAGAATTCTTTGTACGTAAATAAACTAATTGCGAGCAAAAGCTTATCAATCGATGTTGCAATCGATCTTTCCAATCGCTAATCCGCATTACAAATTCATCCCCGTCATTCGATTTGCATCCTTGAACTTTTAAGAAGCTGTCTGGCTTACAATTATCGGTTGATACCGTTCCAAGTAATAAGTTCTAACATATTAACATAAATATACTCATTTGAAAAAACTGACTTATAACAAGCAATTCAAAAGTATCACATAATTAATCTTTTTAATAAATTGTTATCTTGTGATAAAGATAATATTACAAGTTACTGTCCACAAAGTAAAGTTTTAAAATATGTTATAAGCAGACTGCAGTTTCCGACAGCGGTTAATATTTGTGCAATCGATGTTCAATCGCTTTTAAGAGTATAACGTACGTAAAGCAATAATGGCAAGACAATAGTTACAAATTGTCATCGTTGCGTGCTTGAAATGATGTAACCGGAATATTAATTTTCAACACAAATACGCCGATAGAACGGATCGTCGCAGATAGGATGTTGCGACAATGATACACCGATACGCTTCGGCCGGTTCCATCTGATAAAGCCGTTTGTTCAATCATATAATATCTCGAGTTATCGAAACGAGTTATCGCTTCAACTGCCGGTGCTACGGGCGCGTGGTCGCGATAGTTTCTACAGAAATACGTCCGTTTATATTCCGCTGCGCAATTCCAATGACAAGCAGATGACGAGGAAATTGGTGATCTAACAATCAACCCTTTTCCCCCCCAAAGCGCCCTACAGATCGATAATCGAATAGGGAGCATCCACGTAAAACACTGTAACCGATCATGCGCACGATCGTCTGCAATCGGTGCAATCGCAAATTGCCCTTTTGTGGCGGACTGCCGAATGCGTTGTTAGTCGATACTGATTACTAATTAGTCTATTAGTCCGTGTATTGTGATTTCCTAAACATCTTATATTAGAAGGAATAAGTCACGCAATAAAGATAATCAAATTTTTCGAAATTCCGGGAATTCTTGCTTGTCTCTTGCCGATTTATTTAAAAAATTCAAAATTATTACATAACCTAATAATATGTTTAAAATTCAAATTTATAACATTATTACATCGCAATTCAATTGGTGGTCTACACATCAGATTTCGGTGCGCGTGGAAAAAAACGAAATTGTTCGAATTTGTACTCTTGAAAAAAATTCATCATATAAAAAGTCAACTTTATTGCGGCCAGCTTTCCTCTCGCTACTAGCATAAGAATAGTGAGAGGAAGAGAGAGAGAGAGAGAGAGAGAGAGGGGAAAATTCAATGTACGGCTTCTTAACTCGAGGACCGTTCCAATCGGGTCGACCGCCCTATTTCGTCGCGCATAGTTCTGTGGCGCCGACTGGAACATAAATTCTCGTGCTCGTGTATGATTGTTATCCCACTACTGTCGTCGTCTAAAAAACTGCTGTCCTAGATTGAAAAATCGTTAATAATCCTGCCGCTTTATTATTGTGCCTAAAATAATATCATGAAAATTTCGAAATTATCTGCTCGTAAACCTAAAAATATGCAATACAATAATCGATTCATCATTCCAAGGGATCATTCAAATGACGTTGGTCGTACATTAAGAAGGAAGTTGAAGATCGGAAAATAAATGCGGTAGTAAATTTTTAATCAGTTTCTTGTGTGTCATATGACAAGAAGGCTTTGCTTGCATTCGACATCAAAATAAAAAGGTCGTCAAAAGAGATCACGAAAAAGGATTGAAATTGTTCTGAAACGTTGAAAATAACGTAGCGTCACTCGAGCGAACACGTGTGAACTCAAGTGCTCATGTGAAATGCAAACCCATTCTGGAAAAAGTTCATCGCGGTACATAAAATTGCTGTGTGCGACTAAAGCACGACGTGACAAAAGAAAAGCTCAGAAAAATATTCTCGAGATCGTAACTCCGTGCGTCACACAGTTTAGAGAAATCGTCATATTTCAATAACGTCAGATTTTTTCCTCCATTAATTATCGTACATTGAAAATTTATCATCAAATCGTCTCGAGAAAAGAAATATTGTCTCATTATCCGGCCCGCAACCATTACAATCTCGGATTGTTTGCACAAAAGAGGATGTTACTTTCTTCTGTGCTTTTCTCGAGAGTTACTCGACATGCGTCTCGAACAACGTGTTTTAAAGTATTTCGCAATTTCGCTCCGCCAGTACGTTCTATACGCACTTCCGCCATTATCTTCCGCACCGGCGCCTTTGTCTAAAACAATTTCCAACTTGCAAAACGAAGCTCGCGTTTGTCCAGGTCTGTTTTTCCAAGACGTATCTCCGATATTTTCATTTCCAAGATCAAAGACGCGGCCGATCGTTCGCGAGAGAGGAGATTAAAGCGCGAGCACGACCGAGTAGACGCCCGATCCGCCTCGAGCCGTTGAAACGGACGACTATTCAAGCACGGCCCGAGAATTTACGCTCCGTATATTTCGAACTACCTCCGAGATGAGAAAGAGGAGGAAACTGGTAGGCTTTTCTCTCTCGAAAGCCCTCGAGCTTACTTCGCGGGATCTTTTAGTGGCTGTTTCCATTCATGAGTCGCGCGCGCGAGGCATTCGCGCTTTCTAATTTGAATAACGGTCTTGCCTCTGCTATTTTCCCGCAGGGTTATATTGTGCCCGCGGGAGTCACCATTTGTCAGAATAGTCTTCGCAGGAAAAGAAGAAAAGATTCCTTCGGACGACACCGCGTAGACGAGAAAATCCTTTATCGCGAACGCGCAATTCAACTTGGCGCAATTACCGGAAAGTTGATGTGTTATCCCTTCAGCCAGTTTCCGAGAAAACTTTATATCGTTAATCCTCCTTCATCGATAAAATATTTTACATTATCGTGAGATCTTAATAAAAATTCTGAAAATTGCATGAATTTAGATTAAAAATTAACGATTAATTATGGTTTTGTATAAATAAATTTTATTATGTGCGATGAATTCCGTGTTTTTGCATTGATTCATATCGACAAAATTTCATACTGCAATATGTTAGCACGTGTGTGAGAAATCGCGGTTAAGCTGTCTTCATTGCGACACGAAGCGCTTACATTAAAGAACGGCAGTCTTGAATATTTAGGCAACATGTAATACATCGAGTGCGGCTTCACGAGATTGCTGTGCAGTTATGGTTCGTAAGATATACGCTTGCGAGATACTCTTGCATATTAATTTTGTCGTGTGAGTTAGCCCAAACGAGCGATGTATGATAAAGTGAGACTGAAGCGGACCACGGCCGCGAGAGACAGCAGAAAAGGCGAACAAAAGAGATGATGTAAAAATAATGGAAAAATTAGAGCAGCTAAATAGGAGTGGATTAAATTGGAGTAGCTGCAAAAAAAGAAAAAAAAACGAGGCAAACAAAAATTAGTACAAAAAGATGAATTACGATGTAATTAAGAGATTGCATAAAATGAGAACGAGGTGCGAAAATTGCTAGTCAAGAGTAGCAGTAATAAGAAATTTATAATTATTAGCTCTGTTATTACAACATATATACATATATATATATATATATAAAGTGTCCTAGACCAACCATATCACCGTATCAACTAATGGAATATGAAATATTAAGTATCATTTAATTATTTCTACAATTTTTAATAAGCGGATGACTTGATATATTTTGAAAATCGTGCACAAAACGCGTAACAATTTTACGGAGATTTTTGCACACGTACGACACTTACGGCAAACACGTAATAATTATTTCGAAGCGGAGCTGCTGTGGACAGAAGGACATAACCGCGGGACTCTAGGCGATCCTCTTAAACGAACGCCCAAGGGCAGCTACGCTCGTCTCACGCTAGAAAATGGAATCGCCAGATAATAATTTCAAAACTCAATTTTATCTCTTCATCGAATTGAGGGCCGCTATTACCACCGGTTAATTTTCGAAAGCGAAGAATCGCAGGAATCGAAAACCTTGCCGAGTCGTCTCGCCGATTCAGCGACAAAGGCGATCAGACCAATTGATGGTAAATTGGCGTTGCGGTTTTATTCTACCTCATAATGCTTTTATGCTCGACAAATCTTTTTATGACTTTATTGTTTACATCAAGAGAAACTCTTTTTCAAAAAAAAAAAAATATATATAAAAAGGAAAAGTTTTGCGATTAATTTGTGAAAGATTAATTCGGCAACGTTTTATTTTCACTTTTTAAATAAAACACAAGCTACGCGCTGCTGATATACCGATACTTTCCTCGATGCTTCATTTTCGGAAAACATAAAATATTTTCCGCAGTAGAAATACATATTTATAACCCAAGTTTCCTGGCGTTCCTATCAATAGAGCATAGATCCGCGAATATAAAGGAGTGCATCATATGTTTCCATTTGCGAATGACATTTACGCTACTACTGTATATATAAACAAGCGCACTATATTTCTTCCCATTTCAATTTCCATCTCTCTATACCAGAAATCCAATTTACATACAAGTACATCAATTTCCTCGATTATTTTATGTTGACTTTATTCTATGGGTTAATCAAATAAAAAAAATTTCAAAGATTATTAATTTTTTAAATTAGTTAAAGACTTCTAATTTTTTAAATTGGTTTTACAACGGCATATGTATTTAAAAGCAATTTTTACGTTTACATTTAACAGCTTTTTTACTTTTTGTAAAGAGGCAATTTTTTAATATCAAAATGCATCCTAAAGACGTTTAATATGAGACATGATATGGTGGAGAATATAAAAGTTGTTTTTGCGCGAAATTATACTAGCGTAAAGTTAGCTTTAAATACAAGACCATTATGCGACAATTAGACGATTAAACGAGACGGGTGACGTGTAGGCTTTTCGTGAGAACAGCAAAAGAAGAAAACGTATGCTCGCGAGCTTTCGCAAGCTTTGCGATATAGTATACGAGGCAAGTCTGTCCGGAGAGAAATGAGAGAAGTTTTTCCGTCGCACTTTACGCCGAGGCTGAAAACCGCGGTCGATTAAGAGGAACATTAAAAAACAGTTCGCGGCTTCATTATAATTTCCAGCACAAGAGAATGCACATTGAAAAATGTGGAACTAATTTGCACGGTTAACATCATTACCCAAACTCACGTTGACGAAGTAATGCGAGTAATCGGAAATAAGTTTCGCAAATTTGATCCTTCATGATTAACTGGTAATAATAATTAAATATTTACGACCATAATTACTTGTCATTATCTTTTGTTCGATTGTCAAATATTTAATTTACTAAAATGTTCTCGATGAAAATATATCAAAGAGGGGAGACATTGAAAAATGTCGATGCGGGCAACGCTTCTTCTGATTGAAAGGAATCTCAGCCATAGTTTTATTTCGCGAAACGTTGTTTGGTGTTTGAAACGCGACACTAAAGATCAGGTATCGGAACCGCAACCACGCAAAATAATGGCAAGTAACTACGATCTGGAAATGGAGTTGCGGGTAGAGTAACGTGACCCTAATGCGACCTCGCAGGCAACGAGAGATTTCTGAAGTTACGTTCTGTTAATTAATCAAAGATTAATCTCGCAGTCGACTCAGTTAAACTAGACGAACGCTATAGCCATTAGGATATCCCAATTTCATCCACCGATTAACGGAAATTTGTCGCAGAATCACACTAACCAATCATCAGTGTTATAAAATTTTGTTCAAAATTCACGCTGATCTTTCTTCGCGAAAGAATATATAAAAAACTATTTAAATAAAAATATTCCAATTATCCGTCAATAATGTAGAAAATAATAAAATAAGAAGATTAAAAATTGGTGATGTTCTGTGTTAATTTGTAGTATCTCTTGTGCTCTAACACTCATGTTTAGTTCTTATATTATTTTTTTTTCTGTATGTTTTGTGTTATTGTAGAACTATATGGCACACAATATTGCTATTGTTTTGATGTTAAACTGAAAAAATAAACATTCTATTCTGTCTCTCCCTCCATTATTTAAGCGGCATATTTTCGTTTTGCAGACCGGTCTGCCACCGACGTACGAGGAGTATCTCTGTCACAAATACGCGATGATGTCACGCTCGCATACTCCTCCACCACCGTGGTCGGACTCGACGACGACGTCGTCGTCGTTGTCTAATCCCACTTCAAGTATTCAGGCGCGTCGCGACCTCTTGGCCAGCCAGCCCGAGCTTCGCGAATACTTGACACAACTAACACGCGCCAATCGTGTTTCGCACCATCAACAACATCAACAACAACAGCAGCAACGGCAGCAATCCAGAGGCGCAACCTGCTCGGCCCAGAGGGAACAGCAAGTCAGAGCACAGCAGCGTGCACGAGCAATGCCTCCCAGGTGAGTAGTCGAAGAGACGTGTAAGAGCCGACCTCGGTAGCGGCTGCCACGGAGCTGGGATCACTCATGAAATAATTCACACTGTTACTTGGGTGACCATATGCGACTACGACACCGTCGGGAGTTAACTTGGTTCCCCGAGATATTTCGAGGCGCTGAAAGCTAGTAGCGGGATGAAAGTTTGGAAGAACGGTCGGTGTAGCGATTATATGAATATAGAATGTTTCTTGCGTTTCTTCTCTATCGCGCAGAAAAATAAATCTTCCTATCGCGATAAAATTATCATTACTATTGTACATTAAATGTAACAGCGACAAAATTTTGTTATCCTAATTTTTTAGATTGCTCGGAAAATCAGCAAAATCTGTTTTGTGCTGAGAATAAGAATAATTTTTTTTCCACTTAGTTTTGTCACAATTTTATGTTAAATATATTCAGACTTTCTCTTTCTTTTTATCGGGAAAGATTTAGAAAAGTAAGAAATTGAACAAACTCGATCGGAAAAATATAAACATGCTTGCAGATCGCAGAGTGAAAGTCGGGCGCAACAGCAGCGAATGGCGGCGATGTACGAGGATGCTGCGTTTTGCATGGAAACAACAGTATTGCAGTCGGCCTTCGATTCTGGCCAAGGATTCGCACTCTGTAGCTTGATGTAAAAAGAATGTGGTACTTTGTTTCAACAAGAAGTAGGAATTGCGAGAAGGTTGACAGATGATCAATTCACGATCAAACTGTTTCGCAGATATGTTTCTCGGCAGCTAACAATAAGTTGCATTCTAACATGTAAGGAAAATATTTGCAAAAGAATTCGATATGAATTGATGGTGCGTCCGCCTCTTTGCGATTCAAGAATACAACGAGATGTAACGTTTCCCAGTTCATGGCAAACCATAAGCGCTCGATGTTAGCGAATGATAAATTAATACCATGATGGAAATAATCTCAATTAGTATCAATTCTCCTGGCAGTAAAGTGTCAAGTGTCTCAAAAGTGCATGTGAATATGTAAGTATCAAATGGTATCGATTTCCAAATGATATCTACTTGAAAGTATCAATTCTCTATAATTTTCTGGATGCAATCAGTATCGGTGTACTGTCAAAATTTAATACATTTCTATATATTTGATACATTTCTAATTTGCTATAAATTGTTGTTGTATTGATTTCCAATTTTCCACACGAATTTTACGTACAATTCTAAAAAAATATATTACATATATATTCTCATACATAAATACAGACATTTAAAATATTTTGAAAATAAAAATAGTTTAAGGTAATAATAATTTAAAATAATATTAAAATGTCCATTTCACCGTCTCTATCATACGAATTATTAGAACAATACCAGAAAGAAAAGACTAAGCTAAATTGTACACAAATATAAAAAATAAAATTATATTTTCGATTTTTTCTTGCGTGCAATAACTAAAATTTAATAGAGTTTCGGTGCACTGTGTATTCGATTTCGTCTCTTCAAATGACACAGTGGTGTTTGATGCAAAATAAACCCTTCTGGCCCCTTTTCTGAAAAAGGTGCAGCAAGCGACATCAAACAAAGAGCAAATTTTTTTATTCATTGGAATTCGAAAGTTGCAATACTGTATCGTAGCAAACTGCGACTACTAACCATAAAAAAAATAGACAAACTTGACAATTAGAGAAATCAAAAGTAATTGAAAATAGTAATTGGAAATAGATAGAGATTAGAAATAGAGAATACTACTTGTCGTGCGTTTTAAGAAAAACAAAGGCAGATAATAAACGCCGATCCTTTTTCCGGATCGGCGTAATTCTGAAACATGATACAGTTTTTATTGATTTTCTGAAAAACAAATTATTGGCACCTAACTCCTTTGAGTTTGCAATACCTCATTTTCTGTTCTTCGAACTAATCTCATCGATAGCTTGAGCTCCTAAATTTACTTATACGAGCAACGTTAATATCAAAATCTTACAAGTTCTATTTTCCAAACTGTATAGCATTTCTCGTGTGACGGCAGATAGTTACTATTTTTTTTTTTTAAACAATTAAAAAGAAGATTTGTTTTAGTCCAACATTGTTATTTGACACTTGACAAATAAAAATTGAACATATTTTATTAAGTTAACGAAAACTGACATTTTTGCAAAAGTTTCAGCAACTGCATTTTCCGGAATTACATTACATGATTTGTAGAGAATCTAACTTATGTAATTTATTACGATTTCATTATAATTCGTACGATAGAGCGCAATACCGAATAAAGTTTTAAAAGTGGAAATGAGTAACAATATTTTATTTTTCATCGAATTGAAAGTTTGTAGCAAACAAAATTTAATTTAAAATAATCGTAATATTTAATGTTGCAAACTGTGAAATGTTAGAACTTTAAACTTTGAGCTAAATATTTTTTACAAAAATATTAATATTAATCCTTTTTCTTTAATACAGATAATTACTGTTCTGCTTTCTAGTTTACTTAATACGTAGAAATTATTTCAACTGAATTTTTTGCATCCTGCGAATTATAATCACAATATGGTTAGTAAATATAAGACAACTGTTAATAGAGCTATTTTTCTTTCATGTATAGAGTATACTTTAACCAATTTTAATTGTCACGTTTAGCGTAAACGAATATTAAGTAAAAGAATGCTGTGAGCATTCAATACCTAACGTACACGGTCCTAATACATACAAAACAGAAAATAGTGTGTAAAGTTGGTGTTAAATACTGTAGTGTGACATCTGCGTTAAACGCGCAAGAATCACATCAATAGTCGGTATTATAACAGAGATAAATGATAAAATAGGTAACAGTTTTAGAGAATCAAATAAAAAATATACTTAAGTTCAAATTAAGTGTATTACAAACAAACCAGTATTATTTTTCTCCCGCTTGCTATCTTATTGTTAGTATTATAAGTCGAAAGTGGAGCAAAGAATAATACGGTATATGTAAGAAATTCAAGAAATAGATATGTCACTACCACTCAATTTCTGTATCATAAACCATAAACTCAGCACATATAACATGGGATCTATTTAACGCATGAATTTGTTATATCAAAGTTTTTCTATCGATTTTGTAGCGGTTTTCTATCAATGACACATTAAAACGCGCAAAAATAAGAATTGTTAATTGTTATTTTTGCTTGGGGCAAAATAATATTGATCACATCACAAGAGTGTTACCTTTTCTTTTTTAAGCTCCAAACATGTACATTAAAACATGTATATATGTATGTTTTGTGATTATATGAAAATATTGCAAAGGGTATTATTATGTGTACATTTAATTATAGAGATAACTTTATGACGCTAATGTATAAACTGAGTATATTATTAATTTAATAAAATAACAGACTCGCCTTCTCTCGTCTTCGTCTCGATTAACAGAGAATGTATTACACCGAGTTACATCAATATAATAAATCGAGCAACATCGCTATTACCTCACACTGTATGTTATAAATCTTATCATGTGTGTATATTATAAATGTTTTAATGTGTGTGTATTGTAAATGTTAGAGAACCAAGAAATATAATGTACCCGATACAAATAAAGTACTTTAAGCACAGCTTTTTGCTTTATTATTTCTTCTGTTTTTACAACTATTTTACAACTATTTTCATCTTTTCATAAAGAAATATACTTCCCGTCTAGTTTATTGTATTATCACATGCAACATGCCATTGTACATTGAGCTATACTTCAGAGCGAGAAGTAAAATATTTATATTAATATATAGATCTCACACACAGAATGAGCCACCTCGAATTTTGCTACATTCAATTAGGAGTCAAGAGACAAGAATTCTATTGTAACAAATATTGAAATTTGTTACTTTGTATTTTTCAAAACCTACACGTCCTATAATTATATTATCTATATGTGCAATAAAATGTTGTTATGATTCTGTGGAATGTTTATTGTATTAAAATGTCAAAAAATTTTTTAAATATGATATAAAAAATTAATTGATCTTTGATAATACATGGTTTTTGTTTCTGATATTATTAATCAGATTTATATATTATTAATAAAATGCGTTTATAGTATTACACAGAACGCAATAACCGTCGTAGATCACAGATGTAACACACACGCGCGCGCACGCAATATATCGGTGTATTACAAACCGAAACTTTTGAACTTGTGTATCATTTTATCGTATAAATTACATGACAAACGCTAACCGTAAACATGCAATGTTATCTGATATGGAATTGAGATTCTTACGAAATACAACTACTGTGAAGTATTAATTACTTTAGAACGGTATGTTTTTACTTTGGAACGATATGTTTCGAAGTTTCACGAAGTCGTCGGTCTCGCGCGCTAGATAGTATTATTGATAAAATATATCGACATGTTATCACAAGGCGTTCGAAAACAAATGCGCAGCTAAAGTTAAAATTGTAATATACTGCAACACATACATATATCGACGCGTCAAGCATAGTCATAAATACCTATTACCTAATCGATAATTATCTGTTGCGTTGCAATAATAATGACGATAGTTGACAATTCAAATAGATCAGAATCCCGAGACTTTCACGCCGTTAGGAGTGCGGAAAATTCTCTCCTTTGGCGGCAGTTCGCCGATTTGATACCGATCTAAAATTGTCCTAGCTACAGCGGAATGCCCGGTGCCGATAAATGCCAAAGTAGCGTCACGTCCGGCATACTCCAGAAGGACATCCTGGCCGCCCGGGTGATTCTTCAGAAACTCTGTGCAATCATACACATAATCGTGGATCGCTAGCCAGCAATCATCCGGCGTATCGTGCCAAGCAACCTCCTCCAAATTGATCGTCCGCAGTCCGTCGAGCGAATTTTCTACGCCCGATTTCGATCTATGCTTTCGCTCCCTGACACCGTCGTTCTTTTCTAGAACATCGTTACGTTTGACCTGTAGGAAGTTTTCCTTCGACGGTTTTACATCCCCCAATTCGAGAGAATGGAAATCTAGACCCAACAAGTCCATGTTGCTACGAGTCCTGGAAGCGCTCGTTCTGCAACATGGTTGCGACTGTGTTATCTTCATAAATTTCATTTCGAATAGAACTTAATTGTGAATTAATATTAAAAAAGTTACTTTCACTTTTTTATACGCCTAAATTGTGTCTAATTTAACAAAGAACATATCTCGATAATATAAAATCGGAAATATCAAATATGGGAACACGGGAATAACGAGATTACGTATATCGATGACTTTGGATCAGTTGATGGCAATCGTTAAACACTTCCGCGCGCGCACAATATATCCGAAATGAGTCCGTTACATTAAATTCACCTACACCAACAGCGACTGTTTCCGCCGACGTTGTCTGTCAAGGGACATTGTATGACGTACTGAGCACCGTAGACAGAAATCAATTCCCTCGGGAAAGGAAAATAATTCTATTACCGGTTGAAACCTGACGCGTGCATACACGAGGTGTCTTCTTGGTCACGCAGTATCGTGGTAACCGAACGTGTTGCTTGGCCGCGTATAGAACGCATGCATAATCCGTGTTTGGACTAACCGCGCACGAATAACAAATCTCTTTTTTTTCCAAACAAAACTTTTCACGGTCGACGACGATTTTGATCGAAAGAGAGACGAATAAAAATACAGAAATCAAAAGAATCTCATAAATTTTTAATAAATATCAGAAAGGACGTGATATACTCCACTCACAAATCTTAATGGCTCGTAAAATTGTCTCGATCCTCCTTTCCTTTATAGAGTTAATAATCTTCTATAAAACTCTTGAATAATTCAATTTCTTGCTTGCAGAAACAGACGCTTCTGCGTCACAACACTCTCGCAAAATTCTGCGGCACGCAAATTTGATATTTTCGTTGACTGGAAACTGCGATTTTATGTTTTTTCGCACAATGATGATAAGCACTGGCTCGTCAAATGCGTTGCACTTGACTTTCATCAAACAAACAATTGCGAAAAGGAATTAATAAAATGTGTACTCTCCTCCCGAGATAATGCCACGTATTTGTCAGCTTTCGACTAGCATCTCGCATTCTGTGAAAGTGTATATATAGTATTACGCCTGGTAATAGTCACTATTACATCATGCGCCGCTAATCTGTCGACGCTGCATTCGTATTGACTTATCAATTGCCCCATTTCTTGACCCGGAAATCTTGAAAGAAAGTCCAGTAAAGAACTATGAAATATATCTCTTTTTATTTTCTATTTATTTATTCCCTTTCCTTTAATTGATTGATATGACAAGTAAGATATGATGAAAGAGATACGTTCAAATATGAAAAAGAATCGACTGAAGATTTGCGTTGTGACGTTTTATCTTGTTCAGCAATGATAAGCCGCAATTCTTTGCAAGAAAGCAAATATAATCAAAGAAAACAATATAAGAAAGTGCTACAATAGTATCGACAAATATTATATCAAGAGATAAATGAATTTGTCAAAAAGTATTAAGTACACTCAAAAAAATATTTCGCTGATGTAGTTAGATTTCTAGATATCGCAACAAGAATGTATCGCTATTTTTCGTATCTGTGAAAACATTGTTTGTCACATATAGAATTTATAGCAGTAATGTTCTAGCAATAGCTTCTGAAAAATTTAGGTACCATTGCTAAATGTTATTCATTGCATGATTTAACACGTGATTGATCTTATATAGATAGGCGCTTTAGAGAAACTTTCTTTTTAAAGTTCACAAACAATACAGATATATATTCTGTTTCTGCCATCTAAACTGATTAAGTAATTACATATGCAATATCACAACAGTTGCTAATCATTTATCTGTTTTAGTTAATTTTTTACACCTAGAAAATTTTAGCTATTATTGCAAGATCATTTTTTTGAGTGTAACGTCTTTTTTCATATAAGCCTCATATTCTTGAGTAGAAACCTTATTTTTTTAGATTTACTACTTGTAAATAATATAGTTTTTATAATTAATTTCTTTGTTACAGAGCGAGGGGGAGGGGGAGAAGAAACTTTGATTTCTATAAATAAAATAAGATCTATATGTGTAAAATTTACACTGAAAATGAAGCGTATATTGTCGTAACCGGCTGTTGATACAGTGGGAAATACTGTGAGTTGTGCTGCCCTCAAATAAGAAGCAAGTTACTAGCGGATGCATGTTACTCGTTCCTGAAGCTGGATCGAATAATTTTACTTTGATAAAAACAACAAATTTAGTAATATCATTGCATGGTACAATATCATTTTACACATGCTCTTTCAGTCCCAACAACCGCAGATATGACGCCACAAGACATCCAATTGCAAAAGTCAACACATAACAGTTTTCTATAATATTCGTCAGATAAGTTAACAAAATCTGTAATCTTAACATTCAATTAACAAGATTAAAATATTGGTTATTACATCGAAAAATAAAAAAATTTCACCGATTGTTAAAAGGACAGTCTATTATGTACATCTATTCTGTAGTCGCCGACAAGTCTAGACTAGAAATTACTACAATAAATTTGCTGTTCTAGTTTACACAGAAACATGAGAAACATGACAGTGAATATGATAAAAGAAATATTGTACATTTTTCTAATTTGCGTAAAAATGTTTTTTTTTACACACAAAAAGATGCACATTAAAATCAATCGATTAACTAGCACAATTGCGAAGGGGTGAAATATTTTTTTATAATCGGTCGATTATAGAAGAAACAGCTTGTCGGACAACTACGCTCATCGCACCGCCGCATCGAGGCGTCACGATACAGCCTGGCGTATATTTTATCGCCGACGAAACGACGCTAGGCGCCGCGACGCCGTCGTCATCGCGACGGCGCGGCCAACCGACGGCGGCGCCGACGGCGACGGCGACGATAGCGGTGCAGCCAGCGCTGACGGCGGTGTACTGGGAGACTGATAGTCGTAATCATGCCACCCTGACCTCACGCACATTCCCGCAAGCACGGTGCGTGCGTCGACGTCGCAGGGGAAGATCTTTCGCACATCAAGCGGTGATCAGAAGGTGGACCTACGACGACGACAACAACAACAACAACGATAGTGGTGACGGTGATAGCGATATTCTCGACGAGTACACACGCGAGCGAGGAAGGTGGATATCGCACGGGAAGACCGGCCGGTCGCAAACGACTCGTCCGTTCTGGTACCAGCGTTTAGCTTTCCTTTCCGGTAGCGGACGTTCGACGTCCAAGTACGCGAGTGAGACGGGAATTGTGAACGCGCTCGCGGAGGATCGTCACACAGCATCGATCCGTATGTTCGCGTTCCCGTGTCGGTAAAAATCTCGCTCCGAAAACGAAATATGCGGGGAAGGGAGCGGACTGCGCGACTCGGAGCGATCGGCGCAGCGTGTTGTCAATTGAAATTCAGCTGTGATAATGCACGCGAATGTTCGAACGATCGACTGCGAGCGCGTTCGATAATCGAGAAGACGCGCCGAAGAGAAAACTCGTCTTACGTTCGCGTCGAAAAGCGCAGAACAAACGCGACGGGAGAATACGCAGCCGCGTGTGGAAGCCGTTGTCCTAGTGACACATATTAGAAATAGGGATGCTTGTGCACTTACTACGTTGCTGCACTTACTTTGCTGCACTGCGTGAGGCATTCGCCTGACACGAAGAGAACCGACGCACGCAACGCCCGGAAGCGCGTTTTCTACGACACGCCGTCGTTCAATTATACCTTTCGGCATGTCAACAATGACAATCGCGAGCGATAGGCGTGTGTAAAGGGATATATACCTGCGTCTTAAGGGTGCACGTGTATTCAAAACGGGTTTTCACAAAAAAAAAAAAAAATAAAAGGTGCGAGGCGACGCCGCCGGCGCTGTACGTCGCACGTGTTACTCGGACCGAGCCGGATCGATCGTCCGGAAGTGTGCTCGAGCCCCGAAGCTGTGCGGTCATATGCGTCTTATTCGCCGCGTGCAGATTTTCACGGAAACGATCTTTCTTCCGATTAAAATCACCAACCTCGCCGATCGTCGCGATATTCGCTCGAATTTACGCTGTCGGCGATCTGTAAGTATTTTTTTTTTTTCTTTTGCGTTGATTTACTTTGGTAATAAAAGTGAATTGTGTACATCGCGGATATGTGCATAATATTATGAAAGAACGAATTGATTGCTTTATAAATTAACGAGCGAATGTTTGATGATATTCATATTGCAAAATCGGTTGGATTTTATTATCTGATTTCGTAAATTTGAATTTTTGTATGTGATACCTGTGCAACGCTTTGAGATTTCAAGAGATAGCTATCAATAGTTGCAAGCAATTTTCAGAAAGTACTCTCTCTCTTTCAAGCCGGATACTCTTCTATCTCTTTTTATGAAATTTTGAGAAAAATTTACACAAGTCGTACGTGTAATTACGTTCCGGCAAGGAAGCGCCTAACGCGCAAAAGAAAAAAAATGTTAAACTTTTAATGAAAAATCTGCTTCCTCGTTCGTCGAGGGGAAGCTAATTGAATCTGGAACACGTTCTCGTTTCGAGCGCGTCTGCTCTATTTCGACGAGATTCCTCAATCGTGAAGTCTCGTCACCCCGATACATTCACGAGACAAATTCGCCGGAACTTTTGCACACTGCGAGATCTTTTAAACGGTAATATTAAACGAAAACGAAGTAAGCGATTATCAAAAGATGTCGTTTTCTTTACACCGCTCACATCTTATTACGCAGCTAAATAATACTTGTGTCATCGCGATGGAAAATAATGGTTAATCGTTAATCTAGACGTAGTTCGGTACGAAATAGTTCGTCGTTGAACGGCAATGATAGCGGCTGGTACTTTTAGTTTCTTTGTTGCATCCGTCCGTTTGCAATTCGGCCTTGCCGGCCCGACCATGTACATGCGCCGCCTCGCAATAAACAGATAGATTGTGCCATTCGCCGAGACTGTTCCGCTGGCACAGTTCTCGTCGCCTTTTCGGGCAACAGATCCGCGCAAAGTGCGCAACGGTAGCTCGCACGACACACCGGCCTCTTCTCGGGGTCCTCCTTTTCTCGTCGCGTCGATCAACGAGCGCGGCGCGGCCGTCACTTTTCGTTAGCGTCATTATTAATAGCGGTGGCATCGATTAATTGATTTATGTTATAAAAAAGAATGACACGCGTCGATAAATAATAGCGCCTCGTCCCGCCTCGTCCCTTCGTTTGCCGTCAATAGAGCGTAGCGAACCCCGCGGTAACGTCAGACTTGTACGGATCATCGACTTTGGCTCGCCCCGCTTCAATGTGTGTAAATCTCTTCCTCCTTCTCTCACCCGCCGGCCGAAGCGTAGTTCTTATCTCGCGTTCGCGGGGGGTGTAACTGACCGATATCGCGACGCTACACGCGTCCCATTAAAAATGCAGTCCTAGCGAGAGAAAAAGAGAGGGACAGTCTATAGACATACATTCGCGCGACCGCGTGTGCAGCGCGCCGCGCCGTTGTACCCCTCCGTTTTTTCTCTTCTCGTCGATCGAACACATCGCTAAGGCGTGTATCCCATTTCGCCCCTCAAATTGCACTGTGGACTGCATTATATAGATATATTTATGACGATTTCATTGCGTTTACGATTGGCTCCTCAACTCGAGCAACGCTAGCACACTCGTTCGCGTTTACACGTTAAAATTCACGACTGATATTTCGATACTCCGACAAATCGCTCTCGCTTTCTTCGTCTAAACGAGATACTCCTCCCTCGACGAATGGGATACGCCATTTCTCGGATGACCTTGAAATTGCCATTCGCCGAGCTTTCCGCGCATTCGCGCGTCGAACGATCTTGGCGGCACCGACGAGCAGCAAGGCGGCCGGTCGGCGATCGCATCACTCGTAGCATCTTGGGCTGCTCTCATCACGCGAATCCTCGATGATTTTCCGCGGCGGTGCGAGAACTTCTACTATTTATAAATGGTCCGAACCCGGTCGCGTTGGCGAACGGCTCGACGGAGCTGCTGCCGCCGCCGCAGCCGCCTCGCGCGAGGAACAATTCGCTACCCCATGGTAAAAATAGAAGCTCCTAGCCAGCTAGCCGAACTCGAAGCTAGAGCTGAGGCGCGCGCGGCACCGCTCTAGCCGCGCTAGAGCGGACGTACGTTCGGCGGCGCACCGGCGCAACCGAGCCTGCGACGTCTGTGCGAATGCTGACGATGATGCTACCGATACCGATGCTACTTCCGCCGATGTTGTGCACCGAACCTGGTCGCCGTCGTCCATGCGAAGAAAGTGCGCGGGCGTCCACGTGTTAGCGCGCCTGTCTGCGTGTGCGTGTGCGTGTGCGTGTGCGTGCGTGTATGTGTGTGTATGTATATGCATACTGAGAGTTCGGCTCCGTTTTGCTTTCCTCTTCGTCTTCCACCTCGCAATCCGCTCGAGATAGATTCAGTGCCCATCGAGACTTCGCCGTGACACCAGTCCCGTGGGTCTTAGTCATCAACCGTTCCACCATAGATAGGTTTCCTCGCGAATGACTCACCCGATCGGATCCTCATTTCCCCGAAGAAAACGCGAGATCGGAAGCTTTCGTGAGCGAGGAGTTTTCGAAGAACGGAGGATCGAGCGAGAGCGAAGAAACAGACGAGACGAAGGCGGAGGGAGAGAAAGAGCGAGAGAAGGAGAGAGCGACAGAGAGAGCCACATTCCGAGCGGATCACGGATGCTTATAGAAACGTTGCGTAACGGCGTCAGGCGGACGGCGAAATCGCCGCTCCGTCGCGAGCTTGTCGTCTAGTTTCGACGTCTTCGAAGGAAAACGTCCCGCGCGTCGTCCCGAAGAGGTTTCCGCAAAGCCCAGGGCAGTGCCGAGAGCCGCCGTGCGCGAGGTGCTAACATCCACGTCTCGATCTCTCGAAAACTCTCTCGGCGGGGCTCGATCGCGGACGGCTACGGCGGCGGCGGCACGTGTATGTACATATGTGTGCGAGTGAGTGAGAGGGGAGAGGCCGACCGGGGTTGATAGTACGGCCAGCGGTGTTGTCTCGAGACGGCGACAATTCGAGGGTTGAGAATGAGGACGAGAGAAGAAAGATAGGAAGTGAAAGCGGCGAGTGTGTAACCTACTCCGAAAGCGCGACTTTTAACACAACCACTCTCGTGCACGAGTTCTCTCGATCTCCCGACACTCGACGAGAGCGAGGAATCTTTACGCGCCCGAGATCGAGAGACGTAGATTCTCGCGCTCGTCACGTTCACGCGCTTCGGTTCCTCGAAGTTGAACTAAATTTAAACCCCGACCCGGCAAGGCTCGCTGATTTCTTTTCTCACGTCCGGCTTCTCTCGCGAGTCGCGCCGCGATGACAGGCGAGCTCTGAATGTTCGAGCTCGAGTCTGCCGTCTCGAGATCGGCGCGCGTTTCGCTAGGACAACGGCTCCGCCGACGTGTTCCGCTCGCGTCCCGCTGTATTTCGTATCGATATCGATAAACGCGCGTTCGTGAACGGTGTGTCAACACTTGCTTCTCCGGTGCTATTGTAGAGATCCGGTGGCAGCGAGCGTGAGAAGACGGCGGCGTGGGCGACAACTACGACGTCGGAAGAGAAGGTGGAGGAGAATGGAGCGACGACCGGGACAAGGCGCGTGCAGACGTTGCTGACGAGCGAGCGAGACGACGACGACGACGACGACAACGACGACGACGATCCCAACGAAGACGAGGAAAACGAAGAAACCGAGGAGTAGGAGGAGGCGTAGAGGGACGAAGGAAGCGTGAAGACGAACGAATAGTGCCTGCGGTAAGCCGCGAGAGATGCAGCAACAACCACATTCTGGCCAGCAACCGTCCGGAGCGCCGAACGGGGTGGCGGGGGCGCCCAATTGCCGCAAACAGGTGGCATGAGTCCGGCGCAACCTGGCGCGACCGGCACCGCCACGGCGGCGTCTAATCGCGCACAGGTTAACGGCGGCAGATTCGACTTTGATGACGGTGGGACCTACTGCGGCGGATGGGAGGACGGCAAGGCCCACGGCCACGGTGTGTGCACCGGACCCAAAGGCCAGGGCGCCTATTCCGGTAGCTGGCACTTCGGCTTCGAGGTGTCTGGCGTCTACACCTGGCCCAGGTGAGCGATTATGGTTGATATTGACTACTTGTTAGAATGTATAGTACCGAGCGGTGCAGTTCGTTAATATCAAACAGAGAATAAGTTATAAGATGTGGCAAATCAATGCAGGTCAATGCTGCAGAAATGTTTAAATCTGATTTTCGGCCCCGTTTACTCTGATAGCATTGTAATTGTGATTACGCGTAAACATCGTTCGGCAATTTTGCGGTATTTTTTTTTGCAGTACGTCAAATTACAGTTTGTTAACTTCGGTAAACAATTAATAGTGCTTTATTGGCGCTTGGAATTTTTCAATATGCAATTGTGTCAACAGTAGAGCTCGCGTAATGATTACATTACGATGGAATTATAACAAATCATTAATTCGCATGATATATGTTGGTATATGTACGTATATATAAGTATATGCACACATTTGCGAGAGGGTTTTCCAAAAACAAATTAATCTTGTATTTCCATCGCATTGGCGACATTTGTACATTGTGCGCCATTCCTTTTGGTTCATAAAGGATTAACTCTCAGCTCGTTTGCTGCAATGCCAAGTGTGTGGTTTTCAAGCTGATTATCCAGCATTACCTTACCGCCATCGCGTCTGTTTCGAGCTAACAACGTTGTTTCAGTCGTAGAACAAACGAGTACTGAACATTACGCTGCGAAAGTAATTACGCCCGATAATATTATTCTGAAAATCCCGTATGCAGTAACTATAGAAAATGTATTCTCAGTGAATCCCGACATTTCATTGACAATTTCGCACCGAATTCGCGTTCATAAAATTCAATGGCGTCGCGCAATGCAAGCTAAGCAGATGCTGGACCTTGACACGTATCCCGGTATATACCTGGGAAGGAATCTCCCGATCCTGCGAAACTGGGTCACCAAGCGCAAGGACACCGAGACCGGGATTCAAGCCGTCAGGACCTAGTTCAGGGTCGTCCGGAATAATAATCGCGTCGTTTAAACTCTTGGCAATGATTACGGATAATAACAATTAATAGTTCGTATTCGTATTACAGATGAGATAAAAATTTTCTATACTTTTCAAGAAATCGATTTGGACAATTTTTTAACGCAATTAATTCTGGTTTTGATAAAAAAGAAAGAAATTTGTAAAATATAAATGCGCGTTTAAATTTTTCGGACTCCAAATTAGAATGCACGTCAAAGATCGTTAAATGTACAACGCTTCTCGCTAACAGTGACGTCATCAGCAAAAAATATTCCAGACCGTTTCCTTTCGTGAAACCAAGCGAGAAATGGCAGTAGAGTGTGTTAGTATTCTTGATTTATTGATCGCGCGTTCAAGTTTTTTATCTAAAGTCAATTGTAAAAAAATTTATCGATAACTTATTGAGAAACTTCAGATAATTTTAAAACATTTTATCAAATAAAAAGCTGTAAAGTAATTGTAAAGGCTTCGATTTGTGAGGGTCGTTTTGGCGAGGAGGACAAATAATGACAAGTGACAATTAGAAAGAGACTCTATAGTATCCACATATTACATGAAAGGGAAACCCAGGAAAAGTCTAACAATCGTAATTAGAATTTTCAGATCACATACACAACGAAAATCTTATCGAATAATAGAGATATAATAACATGAAATGACATGTAACGATTTTATTTATAATATTTGCAAAACCGTTTGTCATATCTATAATATTATTATGCTATTAAATTTCCTGACGTTGCGGAAATGCCAATTTCATATATCTATATATACATTTGAGATTTCAGACATTATTTAATGTATAACATGACTGATGGAAATTTTAACTGTTCGGTGTATCACGATATGTGTGCGTGGGTTCATTCGAAATTGTTTTCGAGAACTTTAAAGTCTGTTTAAAAGAAAGTCCTATCGAGTCTTATAATCTTCCTGTGCCGCGATATCCACACTAAAAAACGACGTGACGTGACAACGATGAGAAAAAGAAAAAAAAATGAGGTGTAAGGATAAACGATGAAAAATCTCTCTTTTTTTCCAACCATGTATCTAGGCCGAGAGAATTCGTCGTTTTGTTTCCCCTAAACTGGAGCAAGGTCTTCAATCACGTTTTCCTAGCAACGCTTTCCGACGCGGCTTCATTTTTGATCATGATGATGCTCAAAGACGAAACGAAGGATTTATAGATTACTACAAGTACATCTCGTCGTTCACCGCATTTCAAGAATATCCGCTTCGCGTGTATAAAGTTTTGCTTTTATCGTTTACTTCCATGACTCACAAAACCGCGCGTTGCTAAGAATATATTTCATAAGATCTTTGCAAAAATGATTTATTACAGAAGCTTGGCTTATGTGAGATTATTTAATTACTCATTATATTTCTTTACGTTTATTCTTCACGATAAACCTGATTTTATTTATACACTTTCTATTTTTCGAAATTTATCTGTTCTAACTACTGTGTGTATTTGATGATTTAATGTAATGTTCTCGCCCCTTTTCTTCTTTTATGAAAATATGCTGAAACATTTAAGATTTTTACTTTAACGTGAATTGCACACGAATAACACAATTTTTTGTCACGAGACAGATTATCGTTATTGCGAAGAAAACGTTTTAACTTCTTTAAGAGTTTTCCTACATTTTCCAGTATGTTGCTTTTATGTTGTTTTTAATTCTAATTATTCACAAAGACACGCTTGCGCAAGATTAAGCATTCTCTTTCAAATCTGTTTTGAAAGTTTTCAAAGAAGCTTTTCTTAGTATCATCAGAAAAATGTAATAATTAAAAGAAAATAATGTATGAAAATATATTATACTTGGCACTGTAAGGGTATTTAATCGTGTATTGAAAGGACATTCGCTCGATTACTTCTATTCTTTTGATAATTATAACCTCGATAAAAATATCTCAAAAGGAGGATCGTAGGCGTGCAATTTCTCTTGTATTGGCATAAAGTGTCAAATGTACATTGCCATTTTCGACATGCGCATTCAACAATATGTAGGCTGTACTCTTCTTTATCAATGGCGATAAAACTAGCAATTATGACACAAATTTCCAACTGATATGCGTGGGTAGAATAGAATAAATAGCGGCGTGATTCACGAAACGTAACTAGCTCCTAAGGATATTTCAGCGAACAGGTTAAAATCTGTCGACGGAGTTATCTTATGGATTTAGTCGAAAGCTTGTAGATAATTGTTTTAAGATTCGAGATTTTTAGAAGATTAGAGAGAAATTGTAGAGATTTAATTTCGCGTATTGTACATTTCAGCGGGTCAGCTTACGAGGGACAATGGCAGAACGGCAAGAGACATGGCCTAGGCATGGAGACCCGTGGACGTTGGCTCTATCGAGGAGAATGGACTCAGGGATTCAAGGGTCGCTATGGGGTCCGACAGTCCACTACCTCGACGGCGAGGTACGAGGGCACGTGGTCCAGCGGCCTGCAAGACGGTTACGGTTCCGAGACTTACGCCGACAGTGGTGAGCACTTACTAATTATTTATCACAAGAGTTCTTTTTTTTTATTTTTTTTTTCCATACGCTTTGATTATGCGAGAAAAGCACGCTTTTAAATAAATCACGGTCAAAAACATTACTTTAATTCAAGCTTTTAATTAAATGAAAAACTTTTCGCGATATGTTTTACATGTATTCGATTCGTAACGGACTTGATGCGAGTATCAATTAGATTTTAATCAGCTACGTGCTCAATAAAACACTGTTTGGTTTTATTGATTTCGCATTAAATGTCGCCATTGATAATGTATAATTTCAATTACCGATGAAATATTTTATCCGATATTAAAAGCGCGTGGTCGAGAATTCTCCCCCCCCCCCCCCCCACGTCTATCTATGAAACTAGATATGAGTAAATAAATTACACAGTTCTTTTAATAAAGCTTCACGAAGCTGACTCGAAACCCGATAAATAAACAAAGCAAGAAACGAATGTAGCTAGGGCGCGTCGTTGATTTCACATTACCTCAACGAGACGTTTACTTGCGCCAAGATTAATGCGCCGACATGACGCAATTGAGATGTCTGTAAAAATTGATGCGGTATTTAGAAAGTGATCTCTTTTTTTTTTTAGTCAAATAAAATTCTGTCAATTCTTGCTGAATGAAATAATATTTTGTTTGAGATTTTTGTATAAAAGAAACCAATTATTACGTTGCACTTGTCGAAAATTAATTTTTATTCTTTTTTTGCTAAATCAATCTCAACAACGCATTCAGTTTTAATGGTTATTGTAAACGAAACACGAGGAGACTATAATCGCAACAGATGATGCCATCGAATCAATATCGTTCCCAGAGAAAAAGTCTTTTCAAGAGTACCAAGATTGATGGTGCTATCGCGCAACGATTGCGACATTTCTGAAAATCGATGCGACCTTCGATGGCTTCTTATCTTGCTTTAGCCCCTACGACCTGTTCATTCTCTTTTTTCTCTCGAAGGATATCTTTTCTAAGCTTGGATTTCATTCGACAAACGGCGTCGCAACATTCGAAATACCGTCTGGAATATCGTTAACCGGTTTGATCATAATTGCTCCGCTCTTGAACTCTAGTTTGTCGATTTCATTTAATTTATCGCGAAATACATTAAAAGCCACTGCCGTCGTCCCAGTTACGAATAAATGACACGCTATTAGAACGAGTCGCGCTACGCTTCGACCGACGAGGGAAGCAGAACTATTGTCAGTCGATCGATCATCGCTGGTAAAATGTTATGAAGTATTCATGCGCTATCTATTATACGAGATCACGACGTTGCACGTTTGCGTAGCATACCGGCAAAATATTGCCGGTATATTAATTAACGCGATATCGCGTTCTCAGGCTCGCTGTTTCTCCCGCGAGATGAACTTGATCTTGCTCGAAGTGTCAGGATTGTGACAGATGTCGGTTCTCAACGTGTTGTGAGAGGATGGCGAATAAACCAAATGGAAAAGCTCTCTGTAACTTTTCACGCCGGGCTTTCTCACCGTCGCTGCTCATCACGGAAAAAGAATACTTTGAAACTGTATGTAAACAAGGAGATGATTCTCACAATTTCCTCGCACCGCTCAGAGGGATCATCGGATACGAACTGAATGCCGAATGATCGATGTTTTCCTTCAGTAATATTCCACTTCGACGGGTGTCTCAGTGCGATATTACTCGCAGCATCTCTATTAATCTTTGCAATCTCGCGATTTCGAGCAAAGAATCGACGGAATTCAGAAACTGGAAATGCGCTCTGACACGGCCACGTCACGTCGAACACGCGTGCGTATATTATGCTCGCCCGAAAATAGCACACGTCCGATCGCTCTCGACGGGAATCAGTCGACTCGATATTTATCAAGTGCCACAAATTATTCAATCGAATTCTAAAGCTTCAATTCCAATTTATTTCAAGTTTAGCACTATCAAGTCTTCTTTACTTTCTTCGCTATATCGCAGCTAATTCGTCTGCTTTTGATTGTTGTGTATAAATATACGACTGTCTTTCGATACATCTGTTCTCCGGCAGAGGATGTACCTTTATTATTTCCGTTTCAAACTCTTGTGAATGGATTGCCCTAAGATCTGAGAATGCAGGCAGCTTGATGGTTCGAGGTCTAAATCAAGCGTTGAAAAACATCGGGCAGAATGAAATGCAATAAAACTTATCCGCGCTACTGGCCACACCACTCTTTCTCCCTCTCTCTCTCTCTCTCTCTCTCTCTCTCTCTCTCTCTCGTACTCTCTCTACGT